AAATAAGTAAGTAAATAAGTAAATAAATAAGTAAGTAAATAAGTAAATAAATAAGTAAGTAAATAAGTAAATAAATAAGTAAATAAGTAAGTAAATAAATAAGTAAGTAAATAAATGCCAGCTATAACTACCTTTGTATTTCTTTAACAGATGCCAGCTGATAGATACTGTTTCCTGGAGCTTCTGGTGCTTTTAACTCATTCAGCCTTCCTCAAAGGTGAGGAAGATGCAGCAGGTTCCACAGGAACCAYAACAACAGTGACAAACTTTGGGTTTGGCAAAAATGAAATGACTTTCTGTTTTTAGAGTATGAAATGAAAATAGAAAAATATTATTTTTCAATATCTGCTTTTAAAATTATAAAACATGATCAAAAAGCACAGCGACCACAGTCAGTGTGTCTTTTGGTCATTGGGTTTTCTCTTTAGAAACCGTTATTAAAAACACAAAAAATGAGGGACTATTTRAGTTTTTGTTTTAAAACACAGAAATTAAAATGAAAATAGCATTTCTCATTCACAGTTTCAAAAAGGGAAGAAAAAGACTGTTTTTTTGTTTCAGATGACAAAAAAACAATTTATTTTTTTCCCTTCAGCTCCTGCAATTAAAGCTTCTGAGAACAGAAAAAAAACATAACGTCTGAAAAGGTTTAACATGTGGAAGCAAAATTCAAATTATTATTTTTTCCATCCAAGGACTCAGCAAGACCATCAAAAACAAAGGTTGTGCAATAATGTTTTATATTTCTCTGTACTGTTAACAAAATATCTCAGTCACTGATCTGTTAATGGAACTTTAAAAACCTAATTATTGAGTGTACTGCTATGATTTGTTAAGGACAACCTAATTAAAGATGGCCGCCACAGCAAAGCAAACATAAAAAAACACAAAAGTGATAGTAAATCAGTAGATTTTTTACAGATGTGTGTCTTCCTTTCAACGGATGCTCCTCCTGATGACAAACAAGACCACAGAGCTGATTTTACAGACACTGAGCTAAAACGTGGTGTGTTAGCAGCCGAAGGTAAATGATGTTGTGACAACAGTTTAACACCAGCATCAAAGGGAAACAGTGATTCTGTGACGCAGACAGCAGACAGACAGGCTCGTTCCAACAAACTGCTGACATGTTTCACACCATATTGACCTTTTTAAAAACACTGTTTCCCACCTCAAACTAGGGTTAATTAACAATCAGCCCTGCAGGCCTCATCAATCACATCCCACTAAAGCTCTAAATTCTGTCACGGCTTCCTGAGCTCAACGCTGATCGGAGCTCAGGTGATGAAAGCAGCAGAAAAAAAGCAGTAACGGCACCTTGTCCTGGCTCGTGTCCGACCCACACACGCTGCTGATGTTCGGGAAAACCTCCGACCAGCCRGCTCTCGTGCAGTTCCTGCTGATGTTACCTGAGAGAGAGAGAAAAACACTTTTAGTGAGCCTCCATGCAGAAAAGTAAAATTACCCTTTTTCTGTTTCAGCTTTAAATGTTTGAGTAAATCCTCACTTCTTTTTCTTGAAAAAGCAGAYTAGTAAATTTGTAACATATAATCAAATATTGATGGGGAAAAAAGGGGGAAACTACTGATTTTAAACATTCGACCTACTGAAAACTGTATGAAACTATTCAAAGATTCAAGATTTAAAGAGTTTATTTGTTGTCATATACACAGATGAAACATGTTTCCTTGAGCAATGAAATTCTTACTTTGCCGTCCACCGTGAATGCCTACAGACAACCAGATGAAAAAAATGAGCACTCAAAAGAAGAAAGTAAAGGGATAAAGGATAAAAAGACCACACTTGAAACAAAAAAGAGACCGAACTAGAGATAATAACATCAAAAAAGGGACACTATCAGTGTTTAGTGTGTGTAAAAGTGCAGATTTGCAACAGGTGAAATGAAATGTACACATGTGCAGTATTAATGGTCAGAAAATTGTCACATTCAGCTGTTTAGAAGTATATTAATAAATAAATAAATATGGTGCTGTATGACCGCCAAAATTAAGACTATTACGCAACCAGCTGTTGCTATATCCTTGTAGCAGGAGGCTACAGCAGTCGCTAGTTCGATGCTAACACAAATAAATAATCTTTACATTTAAGCGCCGGCCTCTCAGTTAGCGGTGCTGGTCTGTCATTAATCAGATCAATAGCTGCTTTAGGAATAGACATAGCCTGCTGCTACAAGGATGTAGCAACAGCTAGTTGCGCAATAGTCTTAATTTTGGCCAGAGATTTATAGTAACTAAGTACATTTACTTAGTTACAGTATTTTTTGATAAATTGTAATTTTACCAAGCAATTTTTAAATCATTACTTTTACTTTTATTGTTACATTTAAAACCTAAAATTGATACTTTTACTTCTTTACTTTAAAATTTAGCATCTAGTTACTCGTAACAAAATTAAATATGTTCAAACTTATCATGAAAGGAGTTGTTTCTGCACTCTAAAAAACTGAAGTGTTGAATTTACTCAACCGAGTCATGTCAGCTGGTTTCACTAAACCTAGCAGAGTAAATATGAGTTAAGAATATTGTCTGCACTTGGTTTAGTGGAACCAGTTTGGTCAAACCCTTAACTGACGCCCCTGAAATTCCTTAAAAGCCTTTTGACATTTTTAAGGTGCTAAACTAAAGGTAAGAAATGGAGGAAGTTGTCTGACACCTTAGTCCACAAAATAAAAGCCCCCAGGAAACGTTTCAAGGCAGAAACTGAACCATTTTTGCCAACCAGTGGAACAAAGACTGTTAAGAGGTTCAGGAAATTCTACAGTTTATTTCTTAGAGAGTGCGTAAAAGTACTTTTACTTTCCCAATTTTTATGAACAGTTTTATGACTTTTACTTTAGTATTTTTTTCATCGGTGAAATTTATTTTTACCAGTCATTTTCTGTTAAGGTATTTTTACTTTTACTTTGTTATTTTTTTTTCAAGTACTTTATAGACCTCTGATTTTGGCCCTCATACAGCGCCACGTAAGTGTGCCAAAATGCTAAAACAGGAACCATGACGTGTCAGTGAATGCTGACGCTCAGACAGGAAAAAAAAAAAAGTAAAACCAACAGAAAATAAAATCACATCACWCTAAATGTCAAACTTTTAGTTGAATTATGTCTGATTTACTGAACTCTCCTCAGTGAACTGATAAAAACCACCTCTTTGTGAACTATGTGACATTCAGCATGAAAACCACCCCACAGCTGTTTCTGCAGCGTCTGAGGGAAACGACTTTATCTCACAGATGTAGAGATCAAACAGGAAGACACTAAACACGCCTCTGAAGCATGACTGATAAAGACAGACATGATGATGTGATGTATGATGAGAATAATGAAGCCTGCAGTGAATGAAGTTTCAGAGCACTGAGTGTAAAACAGGACGATGATGATGATGATGATGATGATGATGATACTGCTGAAACCCTCAGCAAGACTGACAACGTCCTTCCAACAGCTGAGATAATGAAGTGAAATAAACCCATTAATTGAAAGAAAATAACAATAAAAATGGTATTTCTACGTTTTGCTTTGTCATCAGATTTAAACAGAAAAATAATTTCTGGTTCCGGCTGAGAGTCGAGATAATCTGACAGAGAGCTCTGAGACAAACCAAACAAACTGAACTCGTTTTGAAGAGTCACTAATAAGTTGACAAAAACTCTGTTTTGTTTCTGTTTTACTCTTTTCTGGGTTTTTAGTTCAGGAAAACAGAAGTCACCAGCCTGCCAGCCTTTTCACTGACAGTCCCACAAAGACATGAGGAAATACCACAGAGGTCTACAGAACTACTGGAGTGAGCAGAAACCACATGACCACATGATCTACTGTAGAAGCAGCTAAGCATAATGGGCAAGAGTCTGGATTTACCATTACTGTACTGGAAACATAGAAAAGAAAAAAAAAGAACTGATGATGTAAAAACCACAAAAGCTAAAATATTTTAGAGTGTATATAATTATCTAATGTTTTAAATAAAGGCAGAAAGCTGAGTTATGGATGTACCAACAGAAGAGAAACATGCCTCATTTCACAAGTAAACAAATTTTATCTTATTTATTCTAATTAAAGCCTTTCCATGTTTATTTTATTCGCTCTTTTAAATGTTTTTATATCGACTGTTTTCTTATTGATGTTTTTGTTGTTTTTAATCTGATCTGTCTCTGTAGCACTTTGAGGTTTGGAATCAAATGAAAAGTGCATTACAAATAAAATTTATTATTATTATTATTATTATAAAATTTGAAGAAAAAAAATCCTCAGTTCGTTAAAATGTTTTAACGCTCGCTTGAGGTGGTTTTTGGA